TGCAGAGTGTAGTATGAGTACAACCGACCCCATGTACTCTATAAGTGCGGATCCTAACCTCGACGAAGTAGTGACGAGGCTAAGGCAGGTCACCTACACTACAACATGTATGCAGTATATAATAATGATAGAAAATGGAAATACGGAATAGGATAAAATAGTCAACTGAAAATAATAACTTCAGCCTAAAGAAATAAACCAGTGTCGTCCAGAATTACCAATCCTTAACATTTTAGATGAGAATACCGAAAACCAACACAGCTCAAGAAATGAAAACACATAGGTTGTTGCGGCACGCAACCTGATCCCACCGTACAGCACATAATCCTCCCTTATTACACTATAATAACTTCAACAATAGAGATAATATATAAATGATGCATCACGTAATCCGATCCACCATAAATCAATACCAGTATCATAATTCACCCTTATTTCGCCATATCAATCCACTCTTATTCTGTTGTGGTGTACGACCCGATCTCACCGTACAGTACAAGTTCACCCTTATTCCACCATATCAATCCACCTATTGCGGCATGCAACTCAATCTCATCATATCAGTACCAAATACTCAATGTGCACAGTTAAATTAACAATTCTAACCACGAAAACCTTTACTATCAGTAAATACCAAACTGAACCAGAAAGGAAAACCTTGTACAACATAAGAATCTACATAAGTAATACTACACAGCGAGATCAGTCCAAAAATTGATAGTTATAAGGTGCAAGTAAATCAGTTTAAGCAAATAGAAGGGAATCATGAAGGTATGCAAAGATCTGACATTATTAACAGGAGCCGACATTGATTAACAGGTAGCAGTTAAGCATGGAAAGCATCTAGAGCAATTATAGTTAAAGCAGGGATCGAAATAATTAAGAAAAAGTGGAAAATTAGGGAAAACAGATAATTTGGCGGCGTATAATCACTTGTCACCTCGTATATACGCCACATGGATTTCACATAGCACATAGTCCGAAGGTTCCTAATTTCCTCAAGTCAAGGTTAGACACAATACTTACCTCACTCAAAAGACCACTCAAAGCTCAAGCACAGATTTTCCTTTCAAACAAGCCTCCAAACCAACAATATCTAGCAAATTACCAACCAAAAGATTCAAAATAAACCTTAGGAATCACCCACGATTGTAAAAGATTCAACTTAGGTCACTATTTAAAAAAGTCAACAAAAGTCAACTCTCGAGCTCGCTTGGTCCAAACCCAAAATTCGGACCAAAACCCGATTACCCATTTACCCCCGAACCCGATTATGTAATTTGTTCTGGAGTCCGACCTTAATTTGAGGTCAAAATCCCAATTTCACAAAAATCCCTAATTCTACTAAACCCCAATTTTCACCATGAAAACACTAGATTTTAGGTTGAAATCTTAGGAAATGTAATGAAATATTAAAAGAAAATGGAGTAGAATCACTTACCAATGATTTGAGGAAGAAGGGTGCTTGGGGAAATCGCCTCTAGGATTTTTTTTGTTTTGAAAATTTGAAGAATGAACAAAATCCCGTCTAACTCAAGTTTTACACAGTTGCAGATGTCGCAATTGCGATATCATGTTCGCAATTGCGAACATCACAATTGCGAGAAAGAGATAGCAATTGCGAACTCCTAAAATCCTGTTGATCCCAAATATGATAAAACAGACGCAAATGCGAACCTTTCTACCCTCTCAAATGTGGTCCTCCCTACGCAAATGCGAAGATCCTAAAAACCATGCGACTCTGCCTTCGCAAAAGCGGAATAAACAAGTTTGCAAATGCGAACTTTAACCTTGCAAATGCGAGTACCCCCTCAGGGCTCCAAACCAAACATGAACTCAAGTCTAATAACATCATATGAACTTTCTCGCGTGATCAAATCGTAAAAATAATGCCTAGAACTACGAATTGAACACCAAATTAAATGAAAATTTCAAGAAAACTATGAAACTTCTATTTTTGCAACTGGACATCCGAATCACATCAAACCAACTCCGTTTCTCACCAAATTTAATATATAAATCATGAATATAGTAATGGACCTATATCTGGTTTCGAAATCAAAATACGGACCCAATCTCAATAAAGTCAAACATCGGTCAAACTTTCAAAGTCATTAAGCTTTTAAACTTTTAAAATTCAATAAAATGTGATAACTTGAGGTAGGGACTTCCGAATTCGATTTCGGGCAAATCCCATTTCCCAAATCACGATACGGACCCACAGAACCATCAAAATACGAATCTGAATCTGGTTTCTCAAAATATTAACCGAAGTCAACTCAAATGGATTTCAAAGCAAAAATTTATTTTTTTATCAATTTTTAACATAAAAACTTTTCGGAAAACTATCCGGACTATGCACGCAAATTGAGAAGGTCTAAAATAAGATACTTGAGGCTTCAAAGTATAGATTTAGATTTTAAAACATAAGATGACCTATCAGGTAATTACACATCACCTTGACCTGCTTCCTGTCCTTGATCAAGCTTCTCTCCATGTTATATAGTCATTCAAGTATCAGCTCCATTGTTCCTTGAATACCCAGTTCAGTTTCACCCAGAGCTTGTTGTCCATTGGTTAAGCCCTCCAATACTTCATCGTGCTTATCTAGCATATCATCCATATGTTTCAATCTAGTACCGTCTGTCATTGCTCAATACTGTGGTCGCAAAATCGAGGCTCTGATACCAATTGTCAAGTTCTGATTATCGCATTAAGAATTTTGATAAACTAAATGAAGAACAATTAGTTTGGGACAATTTTCTGTTTATATAAATAAATAAAAATTGGCAACTGAATTACAAACTAATTCTACTAATAAAGGAAATAGAAACTAGTAACTCTCTGTGTGACTGAATACCTGCACAAAAGAGAGATTTGGATAAGAAGAAGAAGAAGAGTTTTGGATAATAATAATAATAATAAGAAGAAGAAGAAGAGGTTTGGATAAGGAGGAGGAGGAGGAGGAGGAGGATGAGGAGGAGGAGGATGTTGGAACCAAGCTTTGAACAGTAGATAACATAGTATTCCTATATTTTGTTTTACTAATATGAGAGTATATAAATTTAATAATTTGTGTTATATAGTGAGATTGACTAATATAATTACAAACAAGAAAAGATTAAGTAATNNNGAGGAGGAGGAGGAGGGGGAGGAGTAGGAGGAGAAAAAGAAGAAGGAGAATGAGGAGGAGGAGGAGGAGAAGAAGAAGAAGAAGAAGGAGAAGGAGGAGAAGAAGGAGAAGGAGAAGAAGGAGCAGAAGGAGTAGAAGGAGCAGAAGAAGGAGAAGAAGGGGCAGAATAAGGATAAGAAGGAGAAGAAGGAGGAGGAAACACGAGGTTCAGATGAATCGAGAAGAAAGAAAGAGAACTTACCAGAATTTTGTCATGCCCCTCGCTCTCTCTTAACTGGCTTATATCTTCAATTGAATTGATCTAGGTCGTTGCTGCTCATTAAACTACTTCTAATCTAGGCCCTTCATTTGGGTAGTTGTAATATCGATATAACTAATTCTTTTACTTATACAATTGAGCTTGAAGGGTCATGACGTTCTCTTATCGCATATACTATTAGTGCAGATTCCGTTTATCAATATCCTTATCTGTTTCTTCCTTATGAAGCTTTACCATAATATTTCCTTCAACCAACTCCGGAGGTATATAATCAAGAGACATGCCATTTGTTGTTGCTGAATTTCAAGTGAATAATCTGGTCCAAGTTGGATTTAGAACTTGTTCTTTCATTGTTGGCTCAGAATTCCTCGTTGCTAGTACCTTAGCTTTTAGTGCATTTACGTTCATCCCTCCTTGCTGCCCTTCAATTCATGTCAATTTCACCTTGGGATCTCCACTAAATTTTAATTTCTTAATCCCAATGCTTAATTTAGTCGCCGACACCAGGGGAAAGAGACGGAAATTGTGTTACTAATGGTGTTACAACTCTCTGTTCATTGTTGTTTTCTAGGGTTTCTGCTATTATCCTAACACAGACTGAGCTACAATTGCTTCCCACTATTACAATTGCTTGCTTTTTTGGTTGACCTTGCCCTTTGACCGTGACAACCACCGCTAGTGTAGGTTAGCTTAACGTGTGTCGAGAGCCCTAGGCTAGAGGAACTCTCCTCGTTGAGTGATGGCAATGGAGATTCTTTAACCCTTTTTTTTGTCATTAATCAATTAGAAATGCTAGGAAAAAAATGTAATTACCAATGGACTTGACCCATGAATAAAGTCGACATTGAAATGACCTTGAAAAAAAGCATGCAATGAAATGAACATTCATTTCCTTTTTCTTGTTTTAACTGAAACTTTTTATCATAATTTACTTTTTGATAAATTTTTCAAATCAAAACAGAACTTGAATTAATTAATTTAACCAAGTCTTCAATAAAATGAGTAACACATCACATAACCCTTTTTCAATTGCAAAAAAGTGTTTCAATATTTAAGAAATATGAAAAAAGAGTAGTTTTTTTATGACCCTAAAATCTGAGTTAACTGATTAGTAAAAATAGTGTTAAATTAAAAAAATAAAGACTCTTACAGTTAATGAAATGAATTGAGGGTTCTCATTTTACAGAAAACATTTCAGTTTATCTGTTTCTCTCTATCCCTCTCTCCTGTTCTCTTTTCTCAAAATCTTCCAGAAGACTCTATGGTAACTATGTAAATCTGAGCTTGCATGTGTAGTTTGTTACGGTATCATAGCACGGGTATCAACTCGGATCCCTTCAGCATCTCAAAGTTTAGTTTTTGAATCTCACTTGAATTTCGTCAATTTCTAGAGTTTTTAATCATTGCCGCCCAATTCTGAAAAATTGACTCAAAATTGAAGGCCTCGGGTTTGATTGAAGACTTCATACTTCTCAACCTCATCAAGTTGAAATCTCGCACATGGCTATCAACCAAGGTGAAGAAACGAGCCCTAGTACGAGGAGAAATGACTAATTGGTCATCGATATTGGTAATCCTCTTTACATTCATCCTTCTGATAGTCCTGGAATGACCTTAGTACCAGTTCCGTTCGACGGAATTGGATATCCCTCATGGAGAAGAAGCATATTGCAAGCTTTGTCAGTTAAAAACAAATTAGGGTTTATAAATGGGGAATCTAGAAGACCTAGCCCCGATTCACCTCAATTTCACCAATGGGAGAGGTATGATGATATGGTAACCTCATGGATGCTTAATTCCCTCGCCAAAGAGATTTCTGATATTGTGGAATATGTAAATGACTCAGTTGAGCTGTGGAGGGAATTAGAGGATCGTTATGACCAAACAAATGGGGCAAAATTGTATCAGATTCAGAAGGAGATTAATGACCTTGCCCAAGGTTCCTTAGATATTACTACATATTATACACGAATAAAAAGACTGTGGGAGGAACTGAAAACCTTTGAGTGTCAAGTCTCAATGCAGTTGCAGTTGCACATGTGGAGCAAAGAAAACTATGCATAAGGCAGAACATGATCGACGGCTTATCCAATTTTTGATGGGACTAAATGAGGTCTACACAATAGTGCGAGGAAGCATTCTTATGATGAAGCCTCTGCCTTCTATGGCACAGGCCTTCTCTCTGTTAATACAAGAAGAAAAACAAAGAGAATTCAAGCCTAATAGTCAGCTGAATCTAGATTCCACTTCACTATATGTGAATGCAAGTCCGCAGCATCCAAGTCCATTTGGAGCCAAGAACTTCAAGACACACTATACAGACAACAACAATAATAAAGGTCGCCCATTCTGTGATTACTGTAAAAGACCAGGACATACAAAGGAGAAGTGCTACAAGTTACATGGATACCCTCAAGGCAATTCTCACAACAATCAGAACTTCAATCGTGCCAATTCTCAGTCATACAATCAAGGGAACAATCAAAACTACAAGTTTAACAGAGGAAAAGGGTCTATGGCAAATGTACATGGGACTCCAGCTGGCATGATTCATGAGAATGGGGATGATCAGAACCTGCAAGATGAAAATCAGAATGTCAATCTAACAAAAGAGCAATATAGGCAAATAATGAACTTGCTGCAGTACTTTCAAGTAGGACATGCAGGAGGATCTTTCAGCAATGGCAATATCACCACTGGTAATGCAAACTTTGCAGGTATTATTGTCTGTACTTCTTCCATTGATTTTGACAAGCCTTCATACAAATGCTTTGAATTAAAGGCTGATCTTTGGATCATAGACTCGGGAGCATCTAACCATATGACTTTTAACAAACGTGCACTCACTAACATCACTAAATTACCCTATCCTCTATAAGTAAGTCTACCAAATGGTTATAGAGCAAAAGTTCTTGAATTTGGAAATGTGATACTCTCTTCAGACATTGTCCTACATAGGGTTCTTTATGTTCCACCTTTCAAGTATAACTTGATTTCTATTTACTCCCTTGCAGTACACCTTAGATATATTGTATTGTTCAGTGATACACTTTGTCTGTTGCAGGCCCCTTCACTGAAGAGGTCTCAGGTGATTGGTAACAGCAAAAAAGGCATGTACTATCTCTGTTCCAGGTGTTTGAGGGGTAAAAGGACCACTTTACCTTCTACTATTTCAACTTCCTACTGCAATTGTATTCCTACTCCCAATGTAAATAGTCATGAGTCTGTTAGTCATCTGTTCATATCACACTCCCAATCTGTAAATACTTCCATTTCAAATAATGTGTTTGATAAACATGATGTAAATTCTTTGTGGCACAATAAGCTTGGTCATGTTCCTTTTGTTAAGATGAGAGGAATATCCTCAATTCCTACAAAGTTTTCACCAAGACAACCTTTCATTTGCCCCATATGCCCTATGGCAAGACAAACCAGACTCCCATTTCCTCAAAGAACCAGCACCACCTCCAAATTATTTGAACTAGTACACATAGATATATGGGGTCCTTACCATGTGACCACCCATGATAACTATAGATATTTCCTCACACGAGTGGATGACTTCAGTAGATCCACTTGGACACACCTTTTGAGCTGCAAAAGTAATGCCCTTCAAGCTTTCAAAGCTTTTGTGACCATGATTGAAAATCAATTCAATACATCCATAAAAATCATTAGATCTGATAATGGCTTGGAGTTTACTAGCCATGAAGCCTCTTCATTTTACCAATCTAAAGGAATTATAAATCAGAAAACATGTCCCTATACACCACAATAGAATGGTTTAGTAGAGAGAAAACATAAATACCTTCTTGAAACTGTCAGGCTTCTCATGTTTCGGTCTAAACTCCCAACCAGATATTGGGGAGAGTGTATCTTGACAGCCACCTATCTGATTAATAGGCTACCAACTACTTACCTTAACAACAAATGTCCTTTGGAGTTGTTATACCAAAAGAAGCCCAATTATTCTCACTTAAGAAGCTTTGGTAGCCTCTGCTACCCTAATGTGCCCAAAACATACAGAGATAAATTTGAACCAAGAACTACTCCACATATCTTTGTAGGATATCCCTTTGGCACAAAAGGTTACAAGGTACTAACCCTGGCCACCAAGAGAATTCACATTTCTAAAGATGTAATCTTTTATGAAAATATTTTTCCATTCTCTTTAAGTTCTAATAATACTTATTTCCCTAATGTTCTTAAAACAATCTCATTTCCTAACAATTCTGAGGACAGCAGTTAGGCTCCTCCTATGAACATTGGAAAAAGTCCTGATAGTGTCACATCTCCAGACACATAACACCACTCTGAATCATTCACCAATGATACACCCTCTTCAAGCACCTCTGATTCGCTATCTTCAAATGAAAACAATTCATAGAATTCATCTACACATGAACAATCAGAATCACCGGTTCTAAGGAAGTCCAATAGAACTCATCAAGCTCCTATTTACTTAAAAGATTATGTTTACCAATTACCTAGTAGTGCCACTCAACTGTCCACTACACCTCACTGCACTCCTTCACTAATTGCCCTATTTTCTAATCATAATCACATCACTCCTGATGCTCTATTTTCTGAAAGTCAACACTTGATGCTAAGTGTTTGACATGATAGTAAGCCATCTTCATATGAAGAGGCAGCCCTCAATCCTGCTTGGCAAGCAGCCATAACACAGGAATTTGAGGCACTCCATGCCAACCATACTTGGGACTTGGTCCCTTTACCATCTGGAAAACAAGCAATAGGTTGTAGGTGGGTATAAAAGATCAAACATAAAGCAAATGAAAGTATTGAAAGATTCAAAGCTAGGTTGGCGGTAAAGGGTTATACTCAGTAGGCTGGGATTGATTATACAGAGACCTTCTCCCCTATTGTGAAAATGACAACTGTTAGAGTCCTAGTTGCAATAGTTGCTAAGAAGAGCTGGGATATATTCCAATTGGATGTGAACAATGCCTTCCTCTATGGATACCTACATGAGGAGGTATACATGGAGGCTCCACCTGGACTTGTAGTTGATCAATGCAGTCCAAGAAAAATGGTATGCAAGCTAAATAAGTCACTATATGGACTGAAGCAAGCCAGTAGACAATGGTATGCAAAGTTAACTGAAGCCTTGTCTTCAAAGGGGTATCAACATTCTGAAAATGATCACGCCATTTTCTGCAAGAAAACTTCCACATCCATTATCTTTGTAGCTGTATATGTTGATGATGTTATCATCACTGAAACTGACTCAGAGGAGATTACCAGTTTGAAGGCTTTCCTTGATCAAAAGGTTAGAATAAAGGATTTGGGCAGACTTCACTATTTCTTGGGTCTAGAGGTCCAATACAAACCTGATGGTATCCTTATATCTCAAAGGAAGTTTGTTTTGGATTTGCTGAAGGAATACCAATGTTTTGACTACAGCAATGTTGTTGATACCAAATTTTTCCTATGTATTTTTATACTCAAAATACTTTCAAAATAGCATATGTATGCATATACAAGCACGCCCAAAGGCTTTGGTATTTTTCCAAATTTTTAAAGATTTTTAAAACCAATTTATGGCCTATTTTGCACTATAAAAAACCAATAATTATTCCCAAAAAAAACTTGTCATTTTGGCGAATAATTTATTTTATTCTCGCATTTACACAAAATATAATTTACATGATTTTGCATAATTTTACAAGTCCATTTGGTATTTTTAAACTAAAATTGCATGAAATTGCAATTTTAGCCTATTTCTCGATTTAATAACATTCGTAATCAAAAAATCATTTCTAATATTTTTAAATTAATACTTATGCATTGCTTATTAACTCGGTATTTTTAATTTGATTTTAAACACTATTTACTATTTTTATAAAATCAAAACGGGGAAAATTGGCTATTTAAATTGCAGTCCCTTTTTATTTCAATTGTAGCCCAAATTGCACCCTCAATTTCTACCCCAACCCATATTCCTAGATTACCCGGCCCATAACCAATTAATTTACCTGATCCAACCTTGATCTGATCTGAGTCGTTGATCAAATGAGATCAACGACCCAGATTCTATTTCCCAAATTAAATCAAATGACCCCCCCTTTGACCCCTCATTTCTCATAGAGACCGATCTCTCTCTTGGTCTCTTCGTCTCCTCCTTCTCTCTAGAACCCTCTGGTTCCCTCCTCCTTCTCCGACGAGCTTCATCGCCTCTCTGGCCATGCTCCGTCCTCACTTCTCTCGACCACCAGTCGCCATGGAGCTGTGTCTCGCTGATCTTCTCTAAGTTTTGAGGCTCCAGAGACTTTCACCATGCAAGATGGTCACTAGAAGCCTTGCTTGGCTTATCTCCGGCCTTTTCTCCGATGGTTTTCAGTCCGATGGCACTATGAACGCCATTATTAACGAGTTTCACAGCCAGGTTCCTTACCTCACCGATTTATTGCAAAAAAACCCTAATTTCCGCCTAAGTCTCTCGATCTCTGTCTTTTTAAAGCATTTTTAACTTATCCTTTTGTGTTTTACACTATCTTCTGCCTGATTCTCAAATTTTAAACGTTTTGTTCTTTTCTCAAAAGCTAGGGTTTCCGAACCCCTTTCAAAAATCACTATATCTTCTGCTTCTTTTTGAGTATTATGTGCTTAACGGCGATTGTAAAAGAATTTTGACCGTTCTCTAGTTTCTGAGTTGCCTACATATCCCTGGTTTTACAGGAATCAGGCCACATGTAGTTCAGGAACCATTGGCGGAATATGCCGATGGAAATTTAAACGAACGGTCGCGACGGTCAGGTTTGAGAGTGTGTTTGGAATCGGACAGGCTGCGGAGAATTGGAGTGGGATCGCTGAGACAGCCATGAGCCAGCCGGAGTACCTGCAAGTGTGTGATGTGCGTATATATTTGCGTAATTTAAACGTGATGCAAGTTCCCATTGGACCATGAATGTTGTCTTTGGACGGTTAGGATGACGTCCTCAGACTATGATGTCCTGGGCCATGAAGCATATGATAAAGGATTCGCAGGCTATGAAATGATGTTCTCGGACCATGAAAATGGTGCCTCCGAACCATGACTCCTT